ATAAGGGTTATGATTTACAGCTGATGGTTAGGGTTAGGCATTAGATTTATAACTTTCATCACGAACTGACATCAACTAAAATGCCAAAACGCTATTTAGACAAATGATGGAATGAATTTCGCGCCAAAATCCGAGATTCGTTATCCCAAATCTGACTGGTTCATCCATAAATTATAGTCTCACCGACAATATTCTCATTTTGAGTGAGTGCGATTTCGGCTAACACTTGGGTATTCAGTAGGTTGACATTTGAGATGCTATTACATAACATATGACTTAGCAAAAGATCTTGTAATTGGATAAGCCAAAACGGCGAGACTATAATTTATGGACGAACCAATAAGGTATATTGGTGCGAAATTCACTCATCCAATTTGGTTAAATAGGTTGGCATTATAGCTGATTTCAGTTTGTGATCGAAACCCGGAATCTAATTCCTAACGTTAATCATCGACTGTAAAACATAACTCTAATTCCGAACACACAGGTTTAGAACCGTCATTTGGTCATAGATATTAGGTGGACACTCAAGGTCAGTCTAGCTTAGCTCAAAGGTCGTCCATAAATTATAGTCTCATCGCCAAAACATAATCAAAAACATAACTTTCAAAACTATTAGAGAACTTTCTTCTCTTTTCAACTTTTCACTTTTACATTCAATAGGTAAGCTTCAACCCTTTCAATAAATTACCATATTTAGTAATCGCATGCATACGATTCATGTCTGTTGTGATAGCATAAGTTACTAAAATTCATTCAGTTTAAACTTTAAGTGTAGTCATTTTAAATTGCATTGAATTAAGTCATTATCAAATTAAACCAGTATTAAAAAGGGTTTTGTAGAGATTTTAGAAATTTCACTGGTTGAAATCATGAGTCAATTGAAGCTAGACCACCATCGAAAACCCGGAAGCACTGGACGGCCGTTTCGTCCTAGTATGGGACTCCTTAGCAGTGCTCGTCCACGATCCCCCCTGAGCCAGGCGCTTAACCAACTAGACCACTGAGCCGGCATCCAACGGTGTTAATGTCTAACTTCAACCAATTCACCTGGTTGAACCAGTATAATTTTTCAATCAACTATTAATTTCAAATTGTTTGATAATTTAATAACTTTATCCCATACTGACTACCAGTGATCATGTAGATAAATATAATGCGTTACTGTTAGGCAATATACATTATTGTCGTAAATTCAGCTAGTATCTTATAGCAATAATAAGTTAATGGGAAAAAAATAACGGATCGATTGAAAGAACTCACATACCAGAATATTTTATTTAGACTTCAACTTAATTCTGTTAAGCTGTTTAAATATTTACTTAATTGAACAAAAACGACACCAGATAACATAAACAATTCTTGATAATAAGTATATTTTTTGTCCTTTCCCAATGAGTAGAAAAATTATATTTCTGACGTTTTATCACTTAATGTGAGCCACTTCATCAGAGTAAATAAATAACCGAATCAATTTCATACAAGTGTGAATAATACAAAGAAAACAATGCTCAATTTATTTGAAACTATCAAGTCTAACATTGGGATTGATATCTGGAAACAATTTCTGTCTTCTAAATAAGTTTTATTTAATCAAACGTTTATGTACTATTAATGTAATGAACGAAGACTTGGACAGGAAAAATAACCCCAAAAATTACACAATGTCTTGGTAAAATATGAAAACAATGAATCCAAATTACTATTCACACATCTTTCTTGGACTGTTTCATACATCGTTCCTTTATTCTTGTTGTTACTTTGACTGCTTTCTGTCTTGCTTTCTCTTCTCTTCGTTTCCCTCTCTAGTTAATAAGAATTCTACTTCCAATGTCTGACAAATACTTCCTAAATCGGTCCATATAAGTAGCATACACCACCGTAACACATAACTGTTAGTAAGAATTAAACTTACCTAAAAATAACATTTTACTTCTTTTGAGTAAAGTGTGAGTGTTTTACTAATCACTTATGAACTGCATTATCTGTATTTGTACGCTAAATTAAAATGATTGTGAATAACATACATAGCAAATAGCTTTAATGAATATGCCTTACAGACAAATAACTACTATCATTAATTCAATGAGCACACACACGCTCCGTTTAAAACTCAACCCCCACTGTTATTCTTGGCAGTAGAAAGAGTACTATTTATTTTCATCAAAAAATAACTCACTGAGAAATTCTTGTATCTTTCAAAATATTTCTTTTCAGTTGTACCACAATAAATTTAATTAGTTAGGATTAGGTTAACTCTAATATTTTATCTAGCAATGTGAATTATTCCTGAACGAACCTATATCCAAACCAGTATGAAAAATTCTTGTCTAATTTTCTAAACATATTACTTTATTTAACGAATAGTGAACATTTTCAAAGTATCGACTAAATATCTCACTGAATAGAAATTTATCATCTCGTCCAAAAAATAATTTTATATTTTATGTAGCTATGACAACTTTAGAAGTAGTAGTTACCAAAAGAACCCATCATTTTGTTCTCCGAACTTCTCTGTTTCCGAATTTAATACGTGTAACAAGAATCAAACAGTACTGTTGCGACAAAAGTTGATAGTTTAGGAGAAGCATATTTAAACACATGATACATTGAAAGATAACGGCCGCCATTTGGTGTTATCAGATAAGAATTATTATAATAATTCAATGTCATGAGTGAAACCTTAAACAAATAACGTGAAATAGATAACAATATTAAAAGAATGAAATAAAACAGAAAAATGTTATATTCTCAGTTTCAAAGCAGGTATCATGAAATTGATCAATTTTTAAAAAAAATTATCTGCAAATGTATACTACAGAAACAGTAAGTATTGTGGAATACAGGATTCATGTCCCATTCTATTTTTATACTCTTATTTCACGTCTCTTATTAATAAGGTAACTAATCTACCATTGGTTTGAAATCCATTGAAATATCTTTTTTTTTAAATCTAACATATCCATCTCATAAAATGGAAATAAAGTCGAGGAGAAAATAGTGTAGCAAGTATAATAATTTCCTATTTGCTAAAGTCACTTTCATAAATATAACTTGGTAAATGTATGATAATATGACTATACTATCCCAAAATTACAGTTCATAATGGATTTACTACGCAATAGAATTAAAAGTATGAAAACTTTAAAAAATATTACGTAACCCTGTGATGAACTAGTTCTTATAAGAAAAATATACAATACGAATTAGAAATGGTACAATTATTTCATTAAAAATTTAAATAATACGACGAAGAGAAATGAAGGTTAATTATGAGCACTTTTTGACTATTTCTTTGTTTACTAGTAAGAACATCATAGTCATTGTATCTCAACACATGATACTCCTCTTTCTTTACTGAAGTCTATTCACTTGAAATTTTTGGCGTTTAGTTTCATGAGAAAATTACCGATTGGTAAGCTTTGATAATTTCAGTATTTTATTAACTGATTGAGTCACTATATGACAACATATTGACGAAATTTGTCATTGTACCATATGTTTCAATGTTTTTGAAAAGCATATCCATGGATCGAAATAAGAGGTCATTAGTATGTTAGTGTTAACTGATAGATAAATATTATAACTCATAAGATGACTTATATAATTCGATCACCATACATGGTTCGACAAAATAATATTGCTCCCTTTTAACTAATCAACTATTGGAGAAGTTTTAATTCTATAAGAGGTTTGTCATACCCTAAATAGCTCTTCAGTAGCATTTCTCAACGTGAAACTTAGTGGTAGACTTGAATGATGTAATGCTAAATTATTTTCAGTTTACTTATTTATTTTTTACCATAGATTTTGTCTATTGAATTATATCCTGATAATTTAAATAAATCCATTTGTTTCGCCGATATCGACTGCTAAATAGAACTTGTCTTCCTAATATATTTAGCTAGTTATTAGTTTTAAATGACTGAAACGTTACTTCCACCATGCATTTTGACAAACCAAATATTTAGTAATCAATATGCAGTAAATAAGTACTTATTGAAATCTAATTTCTATCTCAATTAACGAATCCATGATTATTAATTTTTGAGTCATAAAACCTATTCTCTGAAAATGGTAACATATGAACTAACAATGGTATGTATACACACAGAAATATCATATATCTTAGAACACATCGTAATTCATGATACATAAAAAGAGTATTAAAAAATTAATTGTAATATGTTTTCACTTAAAATATCTAATATAAACATAACGATATACATCACAGGAAAAAGCAGACGAGCGACAAACGCATCCACATAACTTTTCTGGTTTCAAATCAATGATTAAAGTAGGAAGTCAACAGATATTCAACAGATTGAGAGCTTTATATCTTTCGCGTTTTATCGTTTTACATGTAAACGGCAACTTGATACTGCATGTATAAAGCTACCTACTTACATTCGTTTTTCCATCAAACAAATCCCGTTTGTTTGTATGAAACAACGGTTCTTTCAATAATAACTTGTTTACTACAATATATCTCCAGATTATATGAACATATGAATATGTACCACATGGTGTGGATGTCTACGTAAGCTATCGCGTCAATATTTATTTTGTCTTAATAATCAACTATTTGTATTATCATTACACTAACACCAAGTTCTGTATTCATCTAGAACGCGTATCCAAAAAGTAGTTTTATGTGTAATTTGATCTATTTTGAAGATAGTCTCTAACTTGCTATATATCTTGGTTACTAACTCAAATTTACTTCGTTTTTAATAAGTGGATGTCTCCATCTAAAAAGCCCTCACACTATCTGAGATAGTTTATTCTATTTAACCGCATAAAATAACTCAAGTATTCCCGTTAGTGGGTAAGTTCATTCTCTCGTGAATTTCAGAAACACCTCTTACTGCACATTTCTATATTGCGTAATATTTTCAATAAGATGTTATGTGAAGCCGTTAGAAGCTGAAGAATGAATATAAAGATCATATTTACGGAACTTGACAAAGTCTAATTCACAACAGATGTAACTGGGCTTTCGACATCCATTAGGAGAGAATGGCATATATATTCTTTAATGACCTGCTACCATGGGAATGAACCTTCTGAAATCCATCAACTGACAAATGGATTAAACTATTAGGTTGACGGCATAGAGACAGTATTATGCGTTAATTATTTGTAACTAGATACAAGGACAATGTCAAACCATATACAAGTTATGACGGTCGTAAGCAAAAAATGTGGAGAATTCCGAACACTAAAAACATGTTCTACATCGAATCATCCATTTATAATCAAGTTTATTTTCAATCATACAACCTCATACTGTCTCCTTCATAAGCACTGTTAATTGAATTCCATCCAACATTTCATTTTTCGACAAGAAATCAAAGTGAACCATGTTTATGCTTCCTAAAGATATATCTGGACTCGAATTTCGTGAGTGTTCGTGGAATTAAACAAGCCGTATATGTAACTTTGAAATTCGAAGTTGCATTGTGCCTATTGGTGTGATCAGAAGAATCAAAACGGGCTGTCAGAATCATTAAATTGTCACTGGAGTTAATGATAGATTTTGTTCCAACGATACGTAGTTGATATTCTTACTTTAAAAGAAAAATACAACTTGAAGCAAACTGTATTTGCGCAAGAAGTCCCTTGTGAAAATAAGACAACAGATCGAATTGAAAATCTTTCCGATAAAAAGAACGAAGCAGGTAATAAACAACACAAGTGAAATTGAAAGCACTGTTAAATATAAGGAGAAAAATTACGAACAAGAATTTTTCAAATGTTCGGGTGTGTATCCAACACCATTGCACGAAATGATCGAAAATCCATCATCTGTGATTACTTCGAATTTAACCTGCATAGAAAAAGAATATATTTTGAACATTAAGTACAGAAATATAAAAATCAAAAACAAATACGACGGGATAACGAAATAAAAGCTCTTACGCAAAGTGGACTATCTAAAAATGGGTGCGATGACATCAATATCAGTACGTAGGAATCAAGATCTGAGACGCGAATTTCGCAAGTCAGAAATGATGACGTAATCAGAATTTACACGAAACTAAAGCATTATATTTTAGTTAGCCATTCTAAAGTAGAATTGTATTTCATTGAGTGAGAATAATCCACTGTTACAAGGGGTTGTACAAGGTATTCCTTGGAAAGCAAACGAATGAAAATCTATAAAATAAAGTTTTCTCGTGTTAATGGCAAAAATTACTTGATTAGCAATAGTCTGATTAGAATAACCACAACGAACTACTAAAATGCCTCAGATAATGCAACTATTAATGGCAGTCTGATCACAATGAAAAATCAAAATAGACACGATTTATTGAATAATATATCTGTAATATCCCAATGAGTAGAAAATTAGATTTTCTGACGTTTCGTGACTTAGTGTAAGTCACTTCTTCAGAGAATAAATAATCAAATTAAAATTAATCCAAGTTTAAATAGTACAACGGAACAATGCAAGAATAATATTTGATCAGTCAAAAACAGGTATGAACAAGTTGATGTCATGTCATTTTTGTCAAGGTGATTCATAAGTGATATCAATGTAAATTTGTGTGTGTATGTATGTGTGCATTGTTTAAGAATGAAAAATTGTGTGACCTTTATGGTAAGAAAGGATAGAGTTTAAATTTGTAATATGATAGTGTGAATTTGTAAATATGATCAGACTGAATGGCTAGTTTAAATGGTCCAATTAGGATGTATGGTAAGGCCTTCCTTTCTGTTGAGAGAAGTAGGATTAAGCATTATATGGAACGCCTCAGCTATCCTCCTTTCTTTGTAGTTGGAAAAGCCTTTTTGCAATATTATGATATTTTTAAAATCGATTTGGTGGTTGTTGAAAATGGCGTGAACTGCTATTGCCGATTTAATTTGAAGTTGGTTCAATTCTACAGGATTGTTAGGAGGTTTCTTTGTGTGCCTAATGTGTTCTTTGGCTCTAGTCAAGATTTCGCGGGATGACTCTCCAATATAATAGGCATCACAATCGACACAACCTAATTTGTAGACTCAGTTCTGTGTGTACATGAAAGGGATTTTGTCTTTTAGGCGAACTAAAGTATTACGTAGTGTGTTCGTTGTTTTGTAGTATACTTTAATTCTGTGGTGTTTCAAGATTCTTTGAATTTCTTCTGTTGTGCCATGACGGTATGGTAAAACTGCAGTACCAATCCATGGGATTTCATTCGAATCATTATTATAGCGTAATGAACTGTTTTGTTTTAATATACTTCTAATAATCTTCAAAGGAAAATTATTAAATTGCAAGATGTTAATTATATTCATTTGTTCTTTTTGTTTGTCTTCCTCTGATGTGATGATCTTGTTAGCTCTTCTAAAAAGATTTAAGGCTAGCGAGATCTTAGCACTGAAAGGATGTGCTGAATGGAAGTCAATGTAACGATTTGAGTGCGTCGGTTTTCGGTAAATGGATAGGTTTAGACTTCCATTTGGATTTCTTTTTACTAAGCAATTTAAGAATGGTAGCTCACCATGTACATTTTCATTTACATTCGTGAATTTGATGTGCGATGAAAGTGTATTTATTCGTTTTGAAAAAGATCTTAGATGAGATGCCCCAATTATAGAATCAATAATCGCACAACTACCGGAAAAAGAGTCGCATTTACTACGTCAAGAGACATCCCACATTCTGACTAAACAAAAACACATTACACCAAACATTTCAAAAGAAGAATTGAACGCTCTGCATTCACTTAAAAAAGACAAAACGATTATCATCACAAAAGCCGACAAAGGTAACACAACAGTAATCATGAATAAAACAGATTATATTAATAAAGCTCTTGAACATCTCTCAACAGGACCTTATGAAAAGATCAATCCAAAAACTTCTCTAACGATTAAGAATAAAGTCAAATTAGAAACAAGTCAACTTCTAAACGAGCTAAAACCAATCATTAGAGTCTCGCTTTGGTTTGCTTTGCATCCCAAATCATGTAATCTCTCACGGTTTTATGGCCTACCAAACATTCATAAACATCTGTCAGGAAGAGTATTGTCGTTTTCAAGTAAACCACATCAAAGCTTACCATGATTTCATTCTTCTCGATGATTAATCCGGATAATTTTGATATAAAGTTATATGTGTATTCAATTATATTATGTAAGTTGAGTTGTAGTGGTTTTATTATATTGCTTAAATATTTCGATAATGCATATGTTGGGGTGTTTGTGAAGTCTACTATCGGTCTTAGAGGAATATCTGGTTTATGAATGTTTGTTAAGCCATAAAACCGTGAGAGATTACATGATTTGGGATGCAAAGCAAACCAAAGCGAGACTCTAATGATTGGTTTTAGCTCGTTTAGAAGTTGACTTGTTTCTAATTTGACTTTATTCTTAATCGTTAGAGAAGTTTTTGGATTGATCTTTTCATAAGGTCCTGTTGAGAGATGTTCAAGAGCTTTATTAATATAATCTGTTTTATTCATGATTACTGTTGTGTTACCTTTGTCGGCTTTTGTGATGATAATCGTTTTGTCTTTTTTAAGTGAATGCAGAGCGTTCAATTCTTCTTTTGAAATGTTTGGTGTAATGTGTTTTTGTTTAGTCAGAATGTGGGATGTCTCTTGACGTAGTAAATGCGACTCTTTTTCCGGTAGTTGTGCGATTATTGATTCTATAATTGGGGCATCTCATCTAAGATCTTTTTCAAAACGAATAAATACACTTTCATCGCACATCAAATTCACGAATGTAAATGAAAATGTACATGGTGAGCTACCATTCTTAAATTGCTTAGTAAAAAGAAATCCAAATGGAAGTCTAAACCTATCCATTTACCGAAAACCGACGCACTCAAATCGTTACATTGACTTCCATTCAGCACATCCTTTCAGTGCTAAGATCTCGCTAGCCTTAAATCTTTTTAGAAGAGCTAACAAGATCATCACATCAGAGGAAGACAAACAAAAAGAACAAATGAATATAATTAACATCTTGCAATTTAATAATTTTCCTTTGAAGATTATTAGAAGTATATTAAAACAAAACAGTTCATTACGCTATAATAATGATTCGAATGAAATCCCATGGATTGGTACTGCAGTTTTACCATACCGTCATGGCACAACAGAAGAAATTCAAAGAATCTTGAAACACCACAGAATTAAAGTATACTACAAAACAACGAACACACTACGTAATACTTTAGTTCGCCTAAAAGACAAAATCCCTTTCATGTACACACAGAACTGAGTCTACAAATTAGGTTGTGTCGATTGTGATGCCTATTATATTGGAGAGTCATCCCGCGAAATCTTGACTAGAGCCAAAGAACACATTAGGCACACAAAGAAACCTCCTAACAATCCTGTAGAATTGAACCAACTTCAAATTAAATCGGCAATAGCAGTTCACGCCATTTTCAACAACCACCAAATCGATTTTAAAAATATCATAATATTGCAAAAAGGCTTTTCCAACTACAAAGAAAGGAGGATAGCTGAGGCGTTCCATATAATGCTTAATCCTACTTCTCTCAACAGAAAGGAAGGCCTTACCATACATCCTAATTGGACCATTTAAACTAGCCATTCAGTCTGATCATATTTACAAATTCACACTATCATATTACAAATTTAAACTCTATCCTTTCTTACCATAAAGGTCACACAATTTTTCATTCTTAAACAATGCACACATACATACACACACAAATTTACATTGATATCACTTATGAATCACCTTGACAAAAATGACATGACATCAACTTGTTCATACCTGTTTTTGACTGATCAAATATTATTCTTGCATTGTTCCGTTGTACTATTTAAACTTGGATTAATTTTAATTTGATTATTTATTCTCTGAAGAAGTGACTTACACTAAGTCACGAAACGTCAGAAAATCTAATTTTCTACTCATTGGGATATTACAAATATATTATTTATTTATAACAATCAACCCAATGCTTAATTTATTTGAAATTATCAAATCAAACCTTGGTAATGATACCTATGGTCACCATCTATTGCTTAGATAAATGCCTGAATACAGGAGTTAAATGGTGACCTACAAACTACAGTTCCATTATTAGTTTTTAATTTGAAATTTTTAGGCTTACTGTTCATAATGCAGTCACTTTTCTGAAAACTTAGAAATTTACCGGTTAATATGTATAGAAAACACTTGACAATATCTTAAGAAATGAAAAATAATAAATTGACGTGATCTTTCGAAAACGATGTTGTTTATATTCATATATTAACTGAAAAGTCTATTGGTCAAAGTTAACCGAAACTCACCGAACGGGCTCAAAGGTGATATTTTTGTCTATTTCATTTCTACTGTCAAAATAAACGAACCATAGGTTTATGGTTTGTTTGTTAAGATATCTTCATATGCCTATGGGTATAAAAAGTATATTCTACACCACATAAAGTTAATATTGGTTTACTTCTGTAAGACAGGTCTAGACGGATAATTACTGGTATTGTATTCTAAATCCAGACCCCGTCCTACTTACTTCAACATCATGGGTTCCTGAATAGTAATGCCAGTTTACTTTCATTCAAAGTGTCAGTCAAAATTTAACACACAAATTTAGGCTTGGCAACGTTCAAAATTAATGTCATATTTAATTAGCCAACTGATACAAGTTATATTCATAAGTGCATGATAAAAATAAAAGTACTTACAGTGAACACATATTTATCAATGAAATGAGTATTAAAAGCAAGCTTTACATAATTAATGTTCGGTACTACTAAATAACTTACACCAAGTAAGTGTTCTGCAACATATATTGCAGTCTTTGTATGTAATGTTAACGGCCCGCACCGTATTTGTGAGTTTCCCTTAGCTAATGCCATAAGCATTATAAGCTAAAACAAAGTAAGACTGTTAAAATAATACATCTGCATTAATAATGAGAAGTAATATAATTTAGCATGTTAACCTAATTCTTGTAATGAACAGCTAATCATTTTGTGGAAAATTTTCAGATTCGATTAATCTTATTATTAAAATAGTGCACTTGCAATCAAAATGTTCAAAATTAGATTAGCATTTTCCTATTTTTTATTGAACAGAATTTTCTATCCCGTTACAGTCAGTCAGTTACAACGTAGAGCACATATATATCGATTAAAATTGCCATACCCCATTAGCACAGAGAGATAAAATTGTCGGGCCAAGTCTCAGAATTCGGAGGAAGATAAAGAACGGATGTACCTAGGTCCTTTGTGATTGTCATAAGATTTTTGTCCTTTCAGAGATCGAGACCAATCAGATGGGATTATGTCCAGATCTCAGATTCTAGCTAAGATTTCAGTTAATCTGACTGCTAAAACTGGACCACCATCTTCTCAGGGGTTAGTCCATAAGGCCCTGATGCTCTCCCTCACTTTAGATCTTCTGTAGCCTTTGCAACCCTACTAAGGGTTGGAGGACATATATCAATTTGCCATTCCTATTGCTCGGAGATAGTGGGTAACTGAAGTATGGCTTAAGGCCAGTTGGACCATACCCTAAAGTGTTCTGCTCATAAGTCTAATCTCCATGGTTAAGAGTGAATAATAGTTCCATGTTTTTCCGAGATAGTTTCACTAACAGACCGACTTTTAATATCGTTTCCTTGATAAATCTGAACACTTGTCTACTGCTACCTATCGCTGCTAACTTTTTCATCTTTTCTGCTTTCGCTGCTCACCACGACTCATCCCATTTGCAATGAAACAACAGCAAAAGTGTTACACAACCGACGATTTGAAAGTAAGTACAATCACATTAAAAATATCTAGAAGCTTTTGTTTTTTCATACATGTTACACATATAAGCTTTAACCAAATGTATCACTGATGTCAAGTGGATTTATGAAGATGGCACTGGATGATAACCAACGGAGCTCATATTTGCCGTACTAGCGCCAGAGCTTCATTGACAATTAAATTATTGTGAACCTCTCAAAGAATAACTCACTACATAGGTATCAATGTCAAAGTTGAACTTGATGGTTTCAAAAAAACTGAGGATTGGGTAGAAAGTTAATAATAAATATATTTTTGTTCTATCTCAATGAGCAGAAAAGTTGTATTTCTGACGTTTCATGACTAAATGTAAGCCACTTCTTCAGAGTCAATAAATAGCCGTATTAACTTATCATAAAATAACAAAAAATATATTTATTGACAATTCACTACAGATATAAATCTTATTATAGGAGCTCAGATATACAAATAACAAAATAATAATGAACCTATCTGAAAATCTATTAATAGAATGCATATTATTCACCATTAGAATCAGTATTGATTTGATATTAACATACATAGTTAGTAACCCTAACAGTACATAGGATATTCTGTGATTTTATACATTAAGTTAGACTTAGGTGAAAACGAATTCGTCAAAAAAGCGTCAGTAGTGTTAACAGAATAGATGATTCTGCAGTTTATGTATGATAAACACACCTGGTCCTGCATATAATCGTCACAACATATTCCAATTTTAGAATAGTTATAAAGTGACTGACAGGCTTCTGAAACCATTTGCCTATAATGATGATCTCGAGGATTAATAATTCCAGAAACGGCCAGACGGCAATCTGTTGAAGTATGTATAACGAACCTAGTGTAGACAGACAAAATTTCACATGAATACAAAACAAATGTACCTTAACGCTTGCACATATACACATTCTATAAGGACTGAAAACTTATCTTGTGCTATGTGCTGAGTACAGAAGAATCTGTTGGGATTGATCTTTCTGTTTAACTATCAGTATAGGGTTATGAAGATAGTTGAGCTGTAATTAAAATCATGAACTGATTAATGTTAGACCACTACTAGGAACCTGGAAGCGCTAGACAGGCGTTTTGTCCTATTATAGAACTCATCAGAGGTTCCTACGATTCTGTATACGGGACTCCAACCCAGGACTATTGGTCTCTAGGCTACTGAGCGGGCATCCAACGGCGTTAATATCTAATTTCAATCAATCTATGATATTGAGTGACCACCTCTTTATTTAAGACCGAATATATTAATGTTAAAACCACAGTCTTCTGATATTCATAATGACATTAAATGACTCAGTACCCTCCAATTCGTATGGATAAAGCTGTCTTGAATTCATTTAGACGAATTTGAGAAATGTATTAATAATCGGGTTTACTCTAGCGTAGTATAAGTTCACATTATACTCCAGGTTGACATCAACGACGCAACTTGCTGACGATTGCCAAATAACTTGAGCACTGGGTTCACGGTTCTCTGTTGATTACTTCCAACCACCTAACGACAGAACATAGTTCACACAATGCGGAGTAGTCAATGAGACTAGTGATTATACTGCAATCTGATCGATAGGATGCGATCAGCACTAAAAGGCAAGATAAATGACACTGGTTAGCAATCAGTGGTCGATCAATGGTGAAAATGTGTCATTGTCACTGATCAGTTGCTGCTCGGGTAACTCAGTAGTAACATCTTAGACTGTGGAGTTAGGTGACATAGGACAAAACCTGTCGGGAAGCACAATTCTCCCAAAGACTACAGTAACATTCCGTTGACGAGTGCCAAGTAGCATGAAACTTTTAGGTAGGGCTTCCTGCCAGCTACCTCCAACCACATAACACCTTTGTTGAAAAAGTAGTCAGTATGTTTTGAAATGATCAGATTAGCAATTTCATCGAAAATTCACCTCCAATTATTGAAAAGCACTTTTCATGTTATTTGTTTCTACGATCAAATGAGACACCGAAAACCAAAATTGAGACATAATTACCAAACTGAAACTAAAGGATAAAACAACCAGATTTATTAGAAGTATTTCAGTATCAAACGTGTTGGATCTATATAGTCACTAAACGTGAGATATATACGATGTCTTATCCGACAGACACAATCTACATACAGCCTGGAAAAGATGTGCGTTTGATCACGTTGCTATACCTAATTAAAATGAGATGGAAATAACGAGATTGAGATAATGTAGCAGCAATATATAATTTGTAAAGTTAGAGCAGAAGGGTATACCTGGAGAAATACTGGAATTTTAGATCGAGAAGATAGAGTGAATGTGCCGTTGACAATGATTCTGATGTATCATCCAGTATCAAACCACTGACTGCGGTCATAGAGGGTACCCCAACCAAGTTGCATGCATCTACTTGCATGTCTCAATGATCTTGGGAATTAATGACACGTCCCGATTTGGTCGCTTCTAGATATCTTCCAACATGCTTTTGCGCTAGCAACCATTGATCATCGAGGTAGACGGTGGTTAGACATACTCGACATGTCGTAACCACCTTAGTCCCTGAAGATCCATTACCTTTTCGACCGATTTCCTACCTATGCCGAATATCCAATACCTAACCTCAACATCGTACACTCAGATGTCCAAACATCCTGGGCAATGTTTTAGAGAAACCTGTGATCAAAAACCTTTCGCCCACATTTGCCTTCAACTTTCGAAGACCACGTTTCACAGCCACAAAGTAGAGTGCAGTACATTGCTGCGCAGTATAACATCCTTTTATTGACAAACGCCAACTGAACCCATAGAGGCTTCGTCAGATACCAACTCTTAAATGCTGATCATACTTTCAAAATAAGTGGAGTGGTCAATATACTCAATTACTTCATTCATCATTAGCTCAGACGTTAATCCCAATCAGTCGTGAAGCAATATTTTCCATTTAAAAGAGGGGAATCGCATTTAGGACAAACTTGCGTTGCTCCATAAAGAGAATTTAAAAGACTACATTTTGTCAGAGTCTTGGCCAAATAGGAATGAGCCGTCTGTGTACTTTATGTCTATAAGAAAACCTCCTGGTACGAGAATGATCCTTGAGAAGTGAGCAGAAAATGTTATTTTAAGGAGGATATCGATGATCAGATCAAACGAAATGAGACAACCAGCAGCCTTAACAAAAATTAATTAAGGTGGGGAGTTCGCTTTAAGCTCTAACTCCCAGTCAGTCACTCCATGGAACCTGGTACATATGTACTGCCGATTGTGATTGATAAACGAACATACCAATGACAAAATTAACTCACCACCACCACATCAACTTTCTTTGACTTTGTATGACTATGTCTTGTTTATTCACCAATCATAATTTTTATGTTTATCACAAACGATATTAGGTTTGTTAACTCGTTTTCCCTATCCTCTTGGGACAGTCAGCTCTCCCTCTCCAAATGCTTTTACATGGTCATGAGTATACAGCCATTGCCAGGGAAGTCCTACTCACTGCCTTCTCGCGGTGGTGTTATTTACGAAATTAAAATGACGAAAAGCGAATGTCCGGCATTTTAACCGGGTTGGTAGATATGTAGGACCCATCTAGGGGAGTTAGAAAGCCCTGCTTCCGAACCCATGGGATTCAGGATCCTCAGGGAACAAAAGGCTTACGAACCAATCATTGGTCACCGGCTATCATGGGACTGCATCAGACCTTTAGGTCTAATGCTCCGGGTGTGGATCCCTAAGGAAACCATCTGCTTCAGTCTGTGCACCCGGACCGTATCACAGCCCACATACAAATCAAGTGACTTGTGTGGCACATATGTATTAAATATTTATTTTGCATACTGACAGTTAATTTACGTTTTAAAAACATAAAGTTTATCAAGCCAAATAGTTTACTTGTTCTGCTGTGGTTACGCTAGGATTCTGTGCTCGATAGTTTAGTGAATAGTTCAGAACTTCATCTGTAGGAAATTACTTGCTACATGTACATCGATTCAAGTCGCCATACCCCATTAGCACAGAGAGATAAAATTGTCGGGCCAAATCTCAGAATAGTAGAGGTAATAGTAACAGTATCAGTTGTAATAGTAATGATTAGGCATGGAAGAGACGATTCGAGAAAATATAGATTAGTAAAACAAAAAACATTGGGGAATTTAGAATCTCAGAATTTCGAGGAAGATAAAGAACGGATGTACCTAGGTCCTTGCAAACGATTTCGATCCATATCACTCAGTCTCTAACCATTAGTTATGATAATCACGCGGACTCCAACCAGGTATTCCACACCTATTAACATGGCTTAATCCAACTCTCAGTGACTTCATAAACTGTTGACATGTTTTGGTTTGGTCGCTCCTAGCTTTCATCCAGCATATTACTACACCAAACAAAATCGCCCGTCAAGGTAGGCGAAAGTTGGGCATATGAAACACATGTTCTAGTCAAGAGTAGAATGCTGTGTTGAGGTCAGAAAATACCACTACAGTTTGGCATGTGTATGGCTACTATCACGGTTGGCTGCTCTATCTCGTTTCAAGATTACATTTACTCTTTTCAATCTTCTTAAGATCTGGCGTACTTGAGTCAATTTCTCACTCAGTTTGTTTGGGAACAGAAGCTAATTGAAGGGCGATTTAGTTGTCCCCTTAAGTATTCGGCACACAACTAAATTGAGAGTGAATAATAGCTTTCTTCTTTTTTGAGATAGTCTCACTGACACCTGCTTTAGTGATCAGTAGACAGAGTTGTGTAGTATCACCTATCGAATGTCTTTCCCATCCATTTTGGTTCTGTTGCTCAGTACTCCTCGATATCGTTGCATAAACTTTTCCTTAATTTATGCTTTAGTCTCTTTTGTTCTTTATCGCTCTCAGAGACTGTTGGGATTATTTATCAGACCTTTGTCGATTCAGTGGATGTCACCAGAACTTAATGATTTTTCATAACCCTTGGGTTTAAATTGTTGAGATGTTATTACTGTATTAACAGCTGCCTAGATAACTTTTAGGCTTCTTCAGGGTAAACTGTCTCTCTACGATAGACTAAGTGGTTAGCCAATTTTTCCTCACATGGATCATTGACCATTTCATCTTTGAGTTGATATCTAAGGGATCCTTCTGTTGAGTTTCTAAAATCTATTTCGATGTATAGAAATGCGTTCCATCAGTAAGGTAAGAATGCTGTTCAAGATCGCAATCTAGTGGAAGCGCTAGTCATTTATTGAGCCTCTCCAACGATGCTTAATGAAAATATGGCTTTCCGGAAGAGATCATGAAGTTTCCTGTAAAACTTGTCTTTTACTCCACCTGAGCTGCATTTACTAGAGGCATGAACAGAAACGACGGAAAGGCCATGGTGTGTCAAAACCTTTCTCAATTTTTACTACACAATTGAGACGGACAGCACAAGAAACTTTCGACAGTAATCTAGTCGGGAAGCGCCTGTCCTGTCTTCATACATGGTGCTATACCTACAAAGACATGACCAAGAAAAGTCGGTCGCGTCTCCAGATACACGAAAGGTAAGTTTCGTTGGATCATTATGTTGACTAATTAAGGTTTAATGAATGAACATGCTGGGATTCTGTATGCATGCTTCTAGAACACGGCATACATTGATAGCACGAGAGTATACAGTCATGGTTAGTGACCTTAGTTGTCCAATTCTGTACAAGGTTCAGGCATTACAAGCTCTTGTACATAGTTTGAGACGCAGTTTCAGGAGACCGGTGATAACATTTTGTGACAATTAGCATTGGTAGCGCATGTTGAAGTCGAAGACATGAAGGTTGATAGTAGAAGCAGAGGCAATATTTGATAGTGGGGCTTGGTCATAAACGAGGTGTGTTGTCAGAGTCTATACTGGAATTATGATTATCATATTCAATAAGCATCATTAACATAAAGCTTTTGAACATGTTATTATTGCTCTTATTTACATTAATATGGAAACAACAATATTACTATTTATTCACAATTAGTGGAAAACATAAGTAATAATAGAATTATTAAAAATGAATGCCTAGCAAATTACACAAAATATTTAGTGACGCACATAAATGCCGCAACGTTGCCCTCACAACGATCACTGCTTTCTTGGAATGAATCAATATTTATAGGACATGAGAAACATTTCCTGAAACAACGCAACGCTTCATCTTTCACATCATGAGCAACCTAAATTAAAAGTCGAAAACAATAATAGTTCAAAGAATGCTACATCAAGATACAACCAAACTCCGTAAGATTAAATTTACTGAGCAAATAACGTCAGAACATTTTAATGCACAGCTTTCATGCGGTTTGAAAAAGTAAACGCTATTTTGCAGTAAAAATTACATTCCTAACACTGCTACTAAGTAGAACGTTTTGGGAAGACGAACACCTGCGGGAACAAATGGCGTATGAACCAATCGTTGGTCACTGGCTACCATGGGACTGCATCTCCTTACGATGCTCCACTGCCTTGTGGGTCAGACGTTCAGGTCAAAGGCTCGGGGTGTGGCCCCCTAAGAAAACCACCTGCTTCGGGTTTGGGCACCCGGGCAGTATCACAGCCCTCACACAAATCAATTGAGATTTGTGTGGCGCATATGTATTTGGTGCCTCCCTGTACCTATACTTATGTGTTAAAATAAATAAAATAATAAACTAATGTGCTACATATTCAATGTATTCTTTATTGAACTATGTAAAGTTTGCGCACACCAATAACAACGCTTATAAAAATAGAAACAAACACTACTATGTGGACGACTACCACTAGCTGTAGATCTCCAAGTCACATGTTACAATGCTAGATGAAAATTCTAGAAGGTAATTTATGATCACCATGAAACCTATATGGATCAGAAATTGAAAACAAGTTTTGAAAATCATTAGTTGTCACCAAGCACAAGTAATACACCACAAGCATAAGACCACAAACTTTATGATTTCGGGAATCAAAAACTACCCACAGGGTTGTTATTACGGATATTACAGATATCAAGCGAAATATTTGAGAATGCATATTTCAAATGGACAAAAATTAACCACACATGCACCAAATAGGTTATTTTGAAAGTAAAAACTAAGTTATTGTAGACTTTTTTAACAGGTGACATTACCTTTAGTGGAACTCTTCCTGCAACAAAAGAATAACCACTGACTTTCTCAACGGTTCCTGAATTTAACAAAGAAATGGGAGAAAGTGGCTCTTTTAAAGGTGAAATCAGTACTTTGACAATTCCTCCACCTAATGGATAAAACCCTCTGTCTTCATAATCAACGATAAATAAGCACTCACCTTCGAACAATTTTTACCTCACAAACCAAACCCATTTTTCTAAAGTAATGTGATGTTACCTGTCAAACTTCAGACTTTGTATTTTTGCAAGTTACTTCAATCATATAATTGATCGGAGGTGCAAACGATGTGTCCGTACCACCACGCAACAACAGCTCACTCTGATTGGAAGCAAACGCTAACACTGGCGTTACAGCTTGTAGCATCAGTGAGACCGACCTTACATAAAGCTTGTAAGCAGTTTTGCTGACATACCCTGCCGTTTTAGCATCAGCTTCATATGAACCGGGAGAAATCCGACCAGGTATTAACCGAATTTCCGTAGATCCAACTGCACACGACGATAAATGACCACAACACACTCTACTAGCGAGTTCGAGAGCAGCCGCGTGTTGACTTCTGGGAACGAAATCTACCATTAACAAAAACAACCACCTGAGACCTGGGTTCTGTCGACCAGCCCGAATATTACACACCTCGATGGGTCTTTTGGTTATCGCTGCTATCGAAACAGCGTTACGTAGGATTTGGCCGCCCTAAACGAGAATGATTTTCAGACTTTAGATGTACATACACTCTCCAACACAGACCCATCAATCAAGGTTACATGCAAGCTAACCAATTCACCCATTACACTTGAAAACAAACCTGACTTTCGGTCTTAAGCACTGTGCGTCTAGACTGACGGCAATTTGTGTGTTGGGGGATTGTGTACACCAGCGTGTGTGAGAAAAGCTGGCGAAAAGAGGAAGCAAGCCGAAGGATCTATTAGCACATAGCATACACTTACATTAAAGAATGAAAGCGATTATTAAAAGTCAGTAATAACAACTACAACAATCTAATATTCACGCGCCGTAACGTGAGGTTTCTAATTCGTAGAAAACTAATATTTTGTACGCTACTCAAGCAATAAAAATTTCAATATTAATCTGAAAAAAATAGGGGACGAAACCCTAAAGGTTGACTAAATTAAACTAAAAAAATACACGCCTAACTGGCAGAGAACCTCGTGGAGACGGTTGAGAATTGTCGAACAGTTATATTGTGGCGCTCAATAAATACCGAAAATAAATTGTTTTGTGAGTCTTCGGCATGAGATATTGACCTCATTAGGTTTAATGGACACGTCTAGCGGAAGGTGCTCAGTAACGCTCGAATTAAATCACCAGTGTGTATGCGTACTACGTATCACTTGTGTTCGTTAGCCAGCTTAAATTAAACACTACCTGATATATCAATGTCCCTTCATTTATATATTTGACCCCTTTCATTCCGGACTTCCGAATCGACTGTGTTGACACACTTGGATCATAAAGGTGTTATGTGTAAAGATTATGTCAAGCTCCGAATGCCTGTTGCATCTTTAATAGATTTGACTAAGTGTAGCGTACACCAAAGTCACTGAAGTTCTTCCATTCATTTGGTTAATAAATTATGCTGACTACGTATTGGTTGCATTAGAAAGTTGATCGGAGTTGAAACGCACGATATGTTTGCATATTTCGTCATTCATGTACGGCAGCATTACTATGGACAATTCCTTATCAGGCTGAGATGGCATTGCAGTTCCTGGAAGCTTTAGATTAGTCACTATGTTTTAGTGAATAGTAACAGTGGAATTTTAAGTCCTTCTTTCTGCTCATTTATGGTTACTTTAGTTATATATTTGTACTTAATAGACTTCAGTTTCTGGTCTGATAATTCCACCTAGCAAATTTCATAAGTTTGTTATGTAGTGAATATACGCAATGTATACTATTATAATGCCAATACTAATAATACTATTTTAATATATACTATTATAATTGATCGAATACATCTGATGAAAGAATATGTAAACGGACGTCATAAACCAAGCCACTATGTATGTCAGTGAATATGCTTTCTAGCGTCCTCTGGAATTGTGCTTCACTGCATATGATAGCTAATAACCGCTGGCAATCGCTTGATCACCATAATCCCTAGGAACATAAACTATAAAGTAATAAGTAATCGACAATAAAGAACCTTATTTGAGGTTATTTTATTACTCCCCCAACTCAAAAATGAAGAGTCTAGACGACAACATAGTATGAATGTTAGATTGACATCCCTCTATCAATAAAAGTTTCAGTGGCCGAGATTATATTTCTGACTTCCTTTCGACTCACTTTTGTTAATTGTTATAATAAAATCACGATATAACTACAATTATTTGATATATAAGCAGCCTCATAGTATTTAGTCCATATTTGATAAGTCATGCATGCAGCTGGTAAAGAAGCCGCTTACCCTCGTCTTAGAACTTCCTCATGTCAGCTGGCAGGCTGTATTAGACATGGATAATCTACTTAAACTCTAACTACTAACCACTTGTTCTAAGAGGCATATCGCTGTTATAAGAGGTAAGGCGCATAAGCAGAGTTGGATAGAAATTAATTACTGCTTTTCTAATTCGTGACACAGACTCGGTGCCATGTGTACACTAAAAAACGAGGCACAATGACGAGACTTGTTGTGAGGCATGATTACATGTATACCTTCAAAATAACCATGAACCACCTTGTTAATAATCCCTCAGAGGGTCCAATAGTTCGTTTCTACTGAAGAATATATTTGTACTTCCATCTCAGATTGTTCAATCAAATAATCATGAATTAAGTAAGCAATAAACTTTAATGGAGTGAATTATTTTACATTCTTTCCTAATGATCTGGCATAGTCTAATGTTTTCTAACTAATTCGAAAAGTTCGGGGTAAAAAATTATTAGCGGTATATCATTCGGGGCTGCAGTTTAATTGACTTTTCAATTAATGCCTTCGTTCTGAATGCAGCTGGTCTTTACTGGGTGTATTAATGGGCTGCATAACACGTGTTAAATTATAAGGAACTCATGTATTTGTTTTACCCAAGCTGTGAAATCAGTTTTATTGCAATTTTGGTATTGAACGTTTAGTTTCAAACTTGGTTAGTTGTCGTGCAATTTGAGACCAAAAATTTAAATGTTAAAGATATTTATGAAACTGACCTAAAAGGACAATTAAATGTAGTCTGATGGTAGGGTCATTAGATGACGATCAGAAGTGACCTAAAGGATAAGTGCATTTTATTGACTAAGAAATGGATCAGTTTCCTAAGGATTAGAATGATATATATAGATGAATGTCTATGCGTTCTGCTTGGTAACCCAACATCCGTTAATATGTTGTTTCAAATTTGTTAGAAAAATGTTGGTTCTTCCCGAATATGTTCATAAAATTTACCCAGAACATTCGAAAACCTTGAAGAAATCCATTTATATACTTTGACTAAAACCTAGTAGTTTTTCACATTTCGGGTACATTGCTGATAACTTTCTAAATGATCACGGAAACCCATTTACTTTTTTGGAAAAACCTCAACATTACCCATTTTTCAGGAAAGCATACGAACCCAAACTAATTGGTCTCACTCCCTATAGAGAAGTCACATGCAAAACTGACCAGTTACTCTAAATAGGAGCCAACTCATCAATCTACAAACCTTATAATAAGTTCCATGAAAAAGCCAGTTGTGTATCCAAACAATGTTTTCCTTACTAAATTTTAAAAGGAAATCTAATCTCCCGAATTCGAGGAATGGTTTATCAGTTTTTGGGAAATCTTAAGAAGCCATAACAGGCAAATCGGTGAAATGGCACAAACACTTCGAACCATTCTCGAAATTGACAAAAATGTCCTGAAAATTGGGGTAGTACCACAGTCCTTAACTTTATTATGAGATGCGGATTTATATTTGTGACCATTTTCGTTGTTCTAGGCATACTGAGATTCCTAGACCTTTTTGTACAGTTGACGGCGATTGCCGTTTGGATCAATCCTCCAATGAGATGAGTGTATATTCTCAGCTCAACTTGCTTCTAACAAACTGCAACTGCACACTTAAAGGCATTGGCTCAATCAACCAGTCAATAATTCCAAATCGCGGGTCGTTTCCATCTTATCGAGTTGCTAATTTTACACAATTCAACCTTTGCAATGTGCACTAATCCTCATACTCGACATTACAGTCTTACCAACAATAGTATTCTGATGTACGAAAAAATATCTCCTGTTTCGATGACCAATGTCCTGCATAATATACCAACCTAACTGAGTAACTTGTTAAGGTAAAGCGTCTAGCGTCTGCAATAATTTGATCTTGCCTGTGAATTGAAATGCTTCATGCAATACATCGTTATTTGAGAATGTATATATTATATTATTGACTGCAAGTATTAAACGAGTTTGGAATAAATCGAAAATTTTTCTTAAGAGTTCTGTCCGTAGCATTTACTCGGTGTTGAGAAGTGAATAAAACTTCAAGGTCCAAGATGACAAGGGATATTTACAGTTCAAAAATACAACCTTGGTTGAGGTATCCCTGTAGGTTCATGGTCAAATATAAACCTACAAATCAAGAGGGTTCGTGGTCTGTAAAGTTCTAGCAGTAAACATTTTGTCAACCAATAGATAAAGGAAATCTGAAGTGCAGAATTCTTCACTCAATTTAATGAATAATTTAAAAATTCGGTAAACATTTCCATTCTAGTGCTAGTTGATAGTTTGTGCAATATCCATATAACTCATATTCGTACCTAGGAAAATAAAATCCCTGTACTCAGGTAAGTTAATAAGATGTGACAACATTCACCCAGTAACCATAAAACAACTCGCGGAAGCCATCAGTACATTAATAGTTCACCTTTTCAGACTCTTACTAGGGCTACAGCAACTTCTAATAAAGTGGAAATAAGGTTCTCTCAATCCAATTTTTAAAGAAGTAAAGAAGGATCAAAATTCCCACCCATAATACTATGGACATGTTTTAAACGACGGGTTGATGAATAAATAAGAGAATACATAAACAAGTGTGGCGTCTTTTACAAGGCCTAACACTGGTTTAAAAGAAACAGGCCCTACGCGTTAATTCTTCAGCCATGGTTGGTTCAGGTGGAAGCACTTTGAATCATAAATTTCGCGAGAAACTATTCAAAATCGTTTCTTCTTCCAATTCTCAATATCGGCATCATAGGTTAAGCCAACTAATCGACCTTAGTCTACAGTGACGACGCAAATATATGGAAGTCGATGAAAATTACAGTGGATTGGCTCAAACGTCTAAAGAATCTCGCAAAAATAAGAGTTGACAGGGAACCCTAACTTGTCAAAGTGTTTCTATGAGCAGTCAGACTCAAGGAGCACAAACAACTCACATCCCTAGCGATGATCATTTTCCAAGTATCTCTAAAGAGCATCATCTAGGACCAGTGCTAGCAATACCGATAATTTGACAATAGTAAATAAAATTCTCCATCTTATGCTAAGAGAGCTCGCTGCAGTCACCGTTTAATCATCCCTAGGATACGCATGCATTCACCTCAAAGTCCATAATATTGTCATACCAAATTTCTTCAAAAAAAGATGTAAATGTCTTTAAAAAATACAGAGACTGGCAAAACACTTGTTGAAAGAACTGAGAGATGAATCTTGCGTATCCAATACTTGGGATTATACTCTCTGCGCTATAGGAAAACCATATATAACCTGATAATGGCATCGAACACACAAAGTACACTAAGTCACCTCAACACAAACGTCATACCAAAAACACATAACCGCGCTCGGGAAAACAACTCACTAAAAATTCTACATTAAAGAGCCAGTACCTAGATAAGACCATCTTTTCTCATAGGGAGTTCTCCATATATAATTGGTTCGCAGACGAGGATTTGTCACTTCGAGAAGAAGTTTATCAACATCGTACCTAAACATCAGATGCCATCTTCCTCTTCGGCCAGTTGTTCCTGGTGCAGTTCTCGCAACTTATCTACTGTTATTGCTGTCACATAACCTTAACTACCTTTACATCGTTTCTTGTCTTCTTCATGAACCTAATATCCCTTCACCACTTTCCACCGCTTTTGTTGATGTGACAAATCAGTTGTTTATCAAATTTTTGGACATAATTATCATCTCCCTTTAGATCTTTTGCACCCAAGTATCGTTCTTTCTTTTTACACTGCAACCAAACGACCACTTGTCTTGTGACATGAAGGTTGTTGGTTCATGAAACCTTACTGATAGGAGACAAA